GTTGAAATATGGATGGGTAGTCAGATAACTAATGAAGATATCGAAAATATAAAGTTTGTATATTTTTAATATTGATTTTTAAAAATATTTCGAAATTAAAATCTAATATTGAAACATTGTTATTTTTTTTTTTAGGTCTCGACTCTCTGAAGAATTGGGGTCTAGACTTGTTATGAATGTACGTTATAAGAAGCATCACGAAAAGTAATTTATTGTTTATAGTGTATACAACTCTGAAAGAGATAATTGTATGTGCTATCATTATAGTTTTGGTTTTTGTCTTTCTTTTTTGATTGGGGTCATTTTACATTTATATTTGATCCACAATTATTGTATATATTAATAAGGGATAAAGATAGCAGATAGTTAATGGTTTGAACAAATGGTTAATGATTTGAACAAATGGGTAATGATTTAAATTTAAAATTTAAAATAAAAATTTAAAATTAAAATTTGAAATTTAAAATTTAATCGAATTATAATAATTCATAATAATTAAGAATATTACATACCAAGAATTGGATAAAGGAAGTTCTACAGGGTAAGGAGCTTCCCGAATAATCTTTAATTGATGACGAAGACGCATCGCTTCGTATTTTTCTTCATTTTTTTCAAGATTGAGTGTTTGCAAATAATCATCAATAGCATCAAGTTCAGGACAATGTTCAGGATAAAGATCGGGACAATGATCAGCTTCCGAATGGATTTCGTCGGAATTTAAATTGGATTTAATGACATATTCATCACAAGATTGTTCGAAATCACTGTCATCCTGAACATGTGATTCGATATGTTGATCTTCGGATTCACTTAATTGCTTTATATCATATTCATTCAATGTTGAACAATCGGATATTTGACTATTTTGTATCGCAATTAGAGTCTCGTCTTCTTCAATCACCGGTGATAAATGTTCAGGTGATATAGATCGCTCTGATATATAATATGGCTTACCATTTTCTTGTTTATAAGGAATTTCATCGATGTATTGATCATCTATATGATCATCATTAATGGAATTGGCCTTGAATTCAGGAGACTGATTGAATGATGATGGAGTGGAATAGGTTGATGATGAAATGATTGCTTTGTCAATAGTTTGTAAAGAAGAAGTTGATATTATAGTATTCATTGATTCAGCATAAGTTGATGTTGTTGAAAGTACAGACATCGAAAAGGAAGTAGATGAAATTGTTGAATGTGGTGATGATAAAGAAGATCGAAGCAATTCTGACTCCTCTTCATCAGCATACTCTTCTTCTTCAACAAAGTTTGTTGGAATATTTTTGGTATCAATGATTGGTACAGGAGTTTTTGAATGCCCTTTCAATTGTTTATTAGATTTAGCCGGTAATTTAACCATTAAACCATCAGGGGTCAAATCCAATTCTGATGAAGAAACTATTTCAGTTTCCGATAATTGAAACATATCATTTGAGCTATTTTCGACCACAGTAGAGTTATTATTGAATCCATTAACTTCATTGACATGATAGCAACCATGAGGAGGCAAGTTCACATCAAATGAAGAATCTTGTATATTAAATAATTGTTCATTAGGAAAGCAAGTAGTTGTAGATTGAACTTTGGAGTTTATTTCAAAAGTAGAAGAGGTTTCACCAAGAAACAAATCAGGGTTACTTATATTTGATTGAACTTCTTTTACAGTCTCGGATGGCACGTGATCACGGGACTGATGTGATAATTCTTTTGGACATATGCTAGATATGTCAAAATGTTTTTCTGAAGAATCTCTATCAAATGATAATTGTTCATGAGGATTTATTTGATTGTTGGAAATTCATTCTTGTGTTATATAATTTTTATAATCACAATTTAGGTTGTTGAAATTTCCAGTATTATTAACAGATTGAATTGATGGAGCATTTGAGGAGGATAGTTGCCCAGACTGAGACCGTAAGACATAATCAGGACATGCCAAACACGTCGAACACATCGAGCATGCAGAATGAGAAGCCATTGAAATCACCATTGGGTTTCCACCTTCAACAGAACTAGGGTATATCAATACAGGATAATCCATACCAGGAAGGTTGATAACGATATAATCCGGTATGATTGTAGGAAGCTGAACGATATCATTAGTATTACTTTGATTGATGATATCCTTTTTAGATTCCATGACTATATAATCCGCAGGTTTGTCAGGATAAATGATCTTTATCATGATCTTGCCTATTTCATCTATTTTTATAACACGATGAAAACGGTGAATGGAATTGCAATTTGGAGGTAAATTTATCTCAATTAGGGATGACTCGTCAAGAATATATTTTTTCTCCCACGAGCACTCAGTAATTGAAGAATCATTTCGAATTTGATGAATTTGATTATGGAGAACTTTAGGTGGTTTAGATATTGGAAGGCCATTACACTGTGGTATATAATTGTTTAAAACAGGTAGGCAATTTTCGGAAGGATAATTTTCGGAGGGGCGAAGAGGCACCAGGCAACAATTTTGATTCTTGCAAGCGATAGGTATACTTGACGTCACGGTCGGATAGGCTAATGAATGTAAAGAAATTCGAAAGAACGAAATGGAACAAAAATCATCAATACATCACTTGGGAGAAAAGCGCATACAATATTAAAATAATAAAGCCGAAAGAATGAATTTAAAGTAAACTAAAAGTGTATGTGCACGTAATAAGTAGACTAATAACGCCAACACGTTTATTTGTCTATATTAAGTCAAGAAAGAAAGAAAAAAGTTAACATACCATTTTTTCCTTTTTTTCCCTTAATTTTATTAGCATTTTTAGACTTTTTCTTGAATTTTTTATCGTTCGCAAATTCTTCAATTTGTGAACTATTTAAATTATGGTGAGGGAACTTTGGACTATTTGGCATTCTCAATAACTACGAAAAAGATATTCACTAATTCGTGTTAATGAAAGATAATAATTTTTAGGACAAGAAATGGGTATAAATAGAAAAATTTCAAAAGGGTCACGTCAAAAAAAAAAGCAAAAAAGATTAAATATAATGGTTTTTTGAGGAGAATAACTTTAAAAAACTTTTTAATAACTTTTGTTTTTTTTTCTTTTGTTTTGAACTTATGCGATAAATATAACTTGAAAATTTTTCGTTATCACCAAATTTAAAATTTGAGGTTAAATTGAGGTAGTTGGGTAAATCAAGGTTTATAAGTCAAAAAGCGGGGATTTATTTTTTATATAATCACCCAAAAAATCTGGGTTTCAATTTTATATTAAATATTTATTAAAATTTTAAAAATATTAAAAAAATATATATACTTTATTTTATATACGTATGTTACGTATGTACATATGTTATGTATGTACTAGTTCTGTAGTTTGAACTATGTATATATAAAAATTGAAATAAGGTTTTTTATACTTAAAAATATGTACGTATGTATGTATGACCAACATGACCTTATGAGCAATATGAGCAACCGGATCAGTGTCCGGTTTTTTTCGTAAATTCGTAAACTTGGTAAACTTGGGGGTTTTAATGAGTATTTTGAGAGTATCGGTATTGATTATTTTTTTGAAGTATAAATATTTTAAATATTTAGAGTAAGTATTTAAAGTAAGTATTTAAAGTAAGTATTTAGAGTAAGTATTTAGAGTAAATATTTAGAGTATTTATGAGTTTATAAAAGCTTGCAGAATTTATATACGAAATTATTATACGTACACGAAATTTATATAAGAATTTATACACGAATTTATATGATACCATTTACTTTAAACTTTTATGAGTTACGTTTTTACTAATTTATATTAATAAGGTATAAAAATAAATGTTGTATACATACATATGTACATACATTTATCTCTCACACTTCACAAATTCACAAAACCGTTTCACCAATACTAAAAGAAAAAATATGATTAGCTTTCGTACAAGAGTTAGAACCGATGCCGTAGTACAAGGACAAGTTTGTAATAATAATCCCGCAAACATTGAAAGGTTTGATGAAATACAAGAAATTGGATACAAAAACATTTCATAAAAAATTAAGTAAATTGGATAATTTAGGATAGTTTGTACGTGGATGGCGTGTCAAACGACGATGTGTTGAAAACAATGTGTAAAAAAACGATGTGTTAATAAACGATGTGTTAAAAAACGATGTGCTAAAAAACGATGTGTTATATTTGAACTTTATTTAAATATAAAAAAATACAGAAAAATACGGAAAATAGCGGAGGAAATTAGTTAGTTCGGAATTGTCGATTACCAAATGATGATTTCAAATGATTCCTTTCAAATGAAGATTCCCTGGTTACTCTGTGATTTGTTCGTACGATTGTCACCATTTTGCATCACCATTGAGATGTATGTTGTATATTAAGATAGAACACATCTGAATAGCATAAATCGTAGATTGATACTACATAAATGGAATTAATTATTTGTACGGTAAAATATAATTATTTTTATCGAAACGAAAAACAAAGAATAAACGCGTGCATGAAATTTATTGGCCAAAGGGAGTTCGCGTTAAACTATCCGAATTATTATTTATTATTAATACATACATGTTGATCAAATATGATTTAGCGGGATGTACAGGGTATGACCGTATATAAAATTACAGCTAATCATTTAGAATTATAAATAAATTATGACAAAGAAGATCCGATGTACAAATCCAAGCATGAAACAACGAAAGTTGACTTAACTATTTCTTAACTATTTTAAAGGTGATCTAAAAAAAAGTTGGTTTGAACTTTTTTCAAAACAATTTAGAAACTTTTTTTCATATTCGATACAAGATTATCTTAAGTAACAATAACAATAACATTTTGTTACAAACATATACTTTTTCAAATTATCACATCATTAATTAATTAATTAATTGATCTTGTGAACTTTTTTGTGACATCAAAAATCAGTAACATGACACGAAACAAAAACATTAACCTTAAAAGTGGTAAAGATATATATATTATTTAAATCTGTCACCAACTATTCGACTGCTAAATTGCTAGAAAGGAAGTTTAGCGATCAGATGATCAAAGCCAAGTTAACGATCATACTGTAATAATGATAATAACGATAATAACGATAAAACGATAATAACAATAATAACGACCATAACTATCATAACGATAAAAATTAATTTATATATATATACCCCAAGCATATATATAAATTATATAAGTTATATGTTATATAAGTATATATAAGTGTATATACGACAACAATAGTATCAGTTGTTTTTTTATGATTTAGAAAGAACATTAGAAGATTAGTTTCTTTATAGAAAATCATAACCAAATATACAATTTATAAACTCAGATTTTTTTTTAAAATCATCTAAAAATCTAAAAAAATTATATTAATAGTGCATGAAAGTAATCTCACGCTCCTGCTGCATGCATGTTTGCATGATAGAGCCAAAGCGTGTAACAATTGTCCATAGAATCTTTTGGAATCAAAAAATTTAAGAAGATTAAGTGAATACGCGATGAATATAGAAATGATCAAAAAAGGTACTTTAATAATGTTTCCAGATTTTGAAATAAAAGACTTGTAAATAGGAAAAAATTAAAACCTGAAGTAATTAACATTCGATCATCATCACATTTACACATAGACCAAAAAAACTTGACAAAAGTAGTAAAGTCCTGTGAACACCTCTTTTTGACGTTTTTGACACACAGAGTAACACAAGAGGTCGGTATCTATTCTCACGAAAAAAAAACCATGTGCCCCAGATGCATATCTTACCTGTTTGAGAAACTGATCGTTTTTGATCATTTACCTGTGTGATTTGCTTAAGAATTACTGTATGCACATTTGTGTGATCACAATTTATGCTATCTTTTGATGGGAACCTTAGCTTTTGACATGCATATCTTTCTTATAAAATTATAATCTAATTATAATAATTTATAAAATAGTTTATAATAATTTATAATAATTTATAATAATTTAAAATAGTTTATAATAATTTAAAGATAGCCTAACCACTTGTTCATAACAAGTTTTTTTAGAAAAAAAAAAAAAAAAATTTGTGAAACAAAAAATTTCACGCATGACGCTCGCTACGCCAGATGATAATGCTCGCTTGATGGTTGATACTTATGTTTGATGGTTGATACTTATGCTTGATACCTTATTCTTATGGTTGATACTTATGCTTGATACTTATGTTTGATGTTTAATACTTGTTACTTAATTGCATAATGTACATAATATACATCATGTACATAATGTACGTAATGTACGTAATGTATATTATGTATAAATAAACTTTTTTTTAAAAAAAATGCCTGCTAATCATACAGTACTAATTAATCATATTAATTAATTCTACTAATCAGGGAAAGCTAAAAAAATTCGTAAGCTCATAGGGATTCAAGTCAATTAGTATCATTACATACATATGTATACATGTTTATCAGGATAAATTGAATGCCAGATAAATTTTGATAAGTGATAAAAAAGCAAGTATTATTTCATGTATCCTGAAATAAAGTTTTAACCAATTTTGTATCAACCGCAACTTTCGTATAAATATACTTGCATTGAATGGTTTAATTTCTTTCTTGTGTACAGATAAACAAATTCACCGTGAAATATTGGGTATCGTTTCACCTACCCACTTACATATGAAATCGATTATAACTTATTCAAGAAAGCACATTTACTGATGGTACTGATATCCGGAGATGATCTTGTTCTATAACGTTTAGTAGCTTACCATTAGTTTGGCGTTAACTTAATGGTTAGTTTAGCGTTAGAAAAATTTTACTTAGTGTAGTACTACAAAAACGTTTTCTGAAAACATTCATTTTATTGTAAATCATTAAAGTTTAGGGAGATAGCCGGGAAGTTATCGTGAGAGAAATTAGATTGTATGCCGTTTTGTTTTCTTTGTATGAAAAATAATCATCTCATCAAGCATTTAATATTACTATCATGTATCGGTATGAAAAGATAAACCTTATTTAAGATATGATGTCAAAAAAAAATCAAAAAAAACCAGTTTCTCCATCAAATAATTACTTGATTTAGAATCTTTTTTCCCGCCAGCTGTTTGACCAAACTTTTCTTTTTTAATAATAATTGCCTTTGAACGTAATAGTTATCGTGTCGGGATTGATTAACAACAAATAATTCGTACCGGCGTAAGCTCCTGGT